TCGTCTCTTTGTGTCCCCACTTGATGGCTTGACAACAGTTGGAATTGGTCATGTGATATACTAGCAAGTATGAGCCGATGTAAATTGCGAGGAAAACTCATTGATTTTCCCAGCAATGGACGCTGCCAAGGAAGATGCCACCATACTTTTGTGGGCAGGGATTTGTACACCAAGGAAGAAGAGTCGTTGGTGGTTGTGATTGGGAAGAACGAGTTTGAAACGCTTTTGCAGCACGTTCGTCTCTTTGTGTCCCCACTTGATGGCTTGACAACAGTTGGAATTGGTCATGTGATATACTAGCAAGTATGAGCCGATGTAAAGTGCGAGGAAAACTCATTGATTTTCCCAGCAATGGACGCTGCCAAGGAAGATGCCACCATACTTTTTGTGGGAAGGGATTTGTCCACCAAGGAAGAAGAGTCGTTGGTGGTTGTGATTGGGAAGAACGACTTTGAAACGCTTTTGCAGTACGTTCGTCTCTTTGCGTCCCCACTTGATGGCTTGACGACGGTTGGAATTGGTCATGTGATATACCAGAAAGTACGTGTCGATGTAGAGTGCGAGGAAAACTCATTGATTTTCCCAGCAATGGAAGCTGCTAAGGAAGCAGATGTCACCATACTTTTTGTGGGAACGGATTTGTCCACTGAAGCTGAGAGCCTAGCTAGATAAAACAAACCTTAGCTGTTATCAAACTCAATTGATCAATCTGTTAATAGTATGAAATGTAGAAAATCCCACATCTAGCTAGGATGATTAAGGAAATAAAAGAATATATAATCACTTTCTATTGATAAATAAATAATTATAAGAAGTTAGAACTTAAAACTCACAAGGAATCATTGAAAACTTCTCCTCCTCATTTGACTAAATGGAAGATGAAAAATAAATTCAACCAATTAGGTCCAGCCTCGTTCGGGAGAGGGCAAGTCTCAGGACTATCCAATTGCCATGTAGTATTTGGTATTAGCATGTGTTTAGCCTGGACTTAAAAAATAATACATTTTTTATTGCATAAAGAACAAGCTAACGCAATATCAAAAGTAAAAAAAAAAGAAGAAGAAGGAGAACAAGCTAAGGCAAATAGTTTTTTCTTATTATGAACTTAAGGTTTCTAAATGCATGTTAATTTGTCAAAATGAAAAAAGAAAAGTAAATTTCATCATAGGTTTCTAGCCGCATGTTGACTTGTCAAAATGGAAACAGAAAAGTAAATTGAACTAGTCAACTAGGTCTAGCCGGTTCGCGAGGTTGTTTTGGTGTTAACGTGTGTCCACACACGTTTTACTTTTGATTTTTTCCCTTTTAAAAAAAAAAATTATGCTGCCTCAACATGCATTTTGCCTGGACTTCTAAAATAACACATTCTTTATTGCATAAAGATTCAAGAACAAGCTAAGGCAATATAATTTTTTTTTTAAAAAAAAAGGAGGGCAAGGAAAAAAAAAAAAAAAAGAGCAAGCTAAGGCAGCTTAAGGTTTTTCTACATGTTTGTTAATTTGTTCAAATGGAAAAAGAAAAATAAATTGAATCAGTTAAGCCCAGCCTGGTTTGGGAACAGCGAGTCCCAGGAACTATTCATTCCGAATAACATTCTAACATGTGCATATACTTTTTTTTAATCATAAAACATATAAAAAAATATGAAAATTAATGTTAATTTTAGTATTA